GCGTCGTTCCCTTCCGACATACTTTTGCAGCGTGTTTTTAGACCGCCACCCGAGTCGGAGCTGATAAGCCTGCCGACACCAGATTGGGCTTGGACGAATGTGGTAGGCGACAACGACCAGTTCAGCCGAACGCTTTGTCCGACAGAGGCGGGCTAACATTCACAAACTCTCCATAAAGGAATCCGTAGCATAGTCCTGGTCGGTCATGCCATGTCAGAACACATGCGCAGTGATTTTATTGCTTCATGAGTGTGCACAGCTTGCTTGAATAAAGGTGTGCATTCAAGGACGCTCCTTTCTCTGACCAGCAAGCACATTACAAGAAATGAAAATCGCTATCGCAGGTGCTGGCGATTTGGCCAAGTACCTTACCGAAGAGCTCCTCTTCGCCGGACATGATGTGGTCGTCCTTTCACGCTCGCAACCTGCTTGGTTCATGCGGTCGGACATCACCTTCGCCACTGTCGACTACACTTCGGTTGCCACACTGACTTCGGCCTTGTCTGACTGTGACGGCCTTATCTCCGCCATTTTCGACTATACTTTGGGCTTCACGACCGCCCATCTTGCCCTTCTCGAGGCCTGCCAGCAATCTCCGAAGTGCAAATCGTTAATTCCCTCCGAGTATGCCGGCAATACGGACGACTATCCTGACCAACCCACCTTCTATTATGCAAACCACGAGCCAGTACGGAAAGCGCTGCGCGAACAGACCGAGATACGATGGACATTGTTCAATCTCGGCTGGTTGACCGACTATCTTGTTCCAGCATCGCATCGGTACATCAAAGACATTGGCGAAAACCATCCCGTAGATCTGGCCGCTGGAACTATCCGAATCCCCGGCACTGGCAACGAGAAGGTTGGTTTTACTCCTGTCCGGGATGCAGCCAAGGCTATTGTCCGTCTCTTTGAATTTCCGACCTGGGAACAGACCATCTACGTCTGCGGCGAGACAACAACCTGGAATGCTGTCGCCGAGAAATTCAAAGCCAGGGGCACAGCGCTGAGAGTCAGCCATAGGTCTAAAGAGGTCATAGAGAAACAGGAGGCTGATGCGTCGAGCAGCAAGGACGACGTCATAGCTGCGCAGTATGAACTTTGGAGCATTTCAGGCGCAGGCCTCCTGCCTCAGGAAAAATTGACGAGGCAGCGAGAAAAGTATTTCAACGGGCTCACATTCAGGACGATAGATGAGTTTTTGGCAGACGCAGAAGAAGCAGGAGAAGGGAGCAGCAGAGCTTTATAGATTGACTTTGCGGCCAGGTCCCCAAACTGTCTCTGAAGCCTCTTCATCGACGATAGAGAGAAGCACTCGGCGTGTCTAGTACATATCTCCCAGAGGCTGTGCCCTACCAAGAGCAGCCAAAGGATGTCCTTCTTTGATCCAGCCTAAGAATGGTGCGCTGAGATTGTAACCAATGAGCTTCAGCATCTCGTCATCGTAGAGCGAGGCTAGTACTTCGGGCGAATTGTTCAGATACTGGTTCTCTTCCTGTTCGCAACAATGTCAGTCTGCAGCAAAAGTTCGGGGTTCAGTATGGAGCATTCAGTACTTGTCTGAGATATCCCTTTGTCATAAAACAACTGTAAACCAAACGCTCTTGATTCGTTGTCGTGTTTGCGGAGCCACCGTGATAGCAGGATGCAAGCATGATGAAGCCATCCCCAGGTTCCAACTCGGCATAGACGCACAAGTCTTCTGCTGGTGGAGTGTCGTGCTTCCATAGATGCGAGCCAGGAATGAATCTTGTGGCCCCATTCGCTTTGGTGGTCTTCTTACCTCCGACGAAAAATCCTATAGCACTGTCCTGGCCGATGGTATACTGTGAAGGTTCCATTCTTTCCTTGACACGGTGGTGGATCATGTCATCGCGATGGAGAGGCTGCACTTTTGCCCCCGGGCCGATAGAGAACACGATGGTGTTGTTGAGCTGTGGTTTCGAGGTACTGTGTTCTTGCACGTCGCCAACCCAATTACTCACCCGGCTGGTCAGAAGCGTGTCGCAGGCGTCTTGGTAAGCTTTGTAGCATACCAACTTCTCCATGAAGACCTTGGACTTGGAGGCAAGACCGTTCACCCGCCGGGTTTGAATCGGGAAAAAAGTGCCATCCCAGGGTTTGTCTGCAAGGAGATGTGCACGAGTGTCCTTCTCAATTGCCGCCAAATCTTCTGTGCTCAAGGCATTCTTGATGACGCAACCGCCGGCTGAAATGAGAGCGCCAACGATCTCTTCGTTCGTCACAGATGCGCTGTCAAAGACCTTGACTTCTGGAAGAGGTCTGTCCCTGTCGTCTTCTTCACCTAAGTTCATTGTGAACATTTGAGGTGGCGCCGAGGTTTTCACTCGTTTGAGTTAGTTCAGAAAGCCACGATCTTCGGCAGGGCGTGGTTTTGTAGTGTAAGTGCGATTGTATGTAGGGTCGTATATACGCCGATCTCGATGATTTCCGTCGTGCCTTCGCGTTACGTTGAGCTTAGACAATGGGTATCGTCAACTTCATTTGCCTCCCGAAGGACGTAGTCAGGGTCGTCCACCTATCTACAACGATATCCACAACGTGCTTGCCGCGCCCGTTTGGTGAGAGGCTTTCTTCGACTATCACCGCCTCAACCAAGTGGCTGCCAATGTTCGCTGTGACTTGCCACAACCGCGGCTCGCGGTAAATGGCTGGTTGCGAGCCATTGTGTGGGTAGATTTGACTGTTTCCGACGGCTGAGTTCTAGACACGGGTCCCGGGGTTTTTCTTTCTTGGCATTATCGATACCGAAACATCTGACACGTTTGAAGCGAAATCATTAGCAGCGGGCGAATAATGCATGTGCTAACATCTCAGAGGGGGCAGAGTTTGTTGGGTCTTCCCCGCAATTAGCCATGCGATAAGGGAGAGATAAGCGTCGATTGCCGCGGAAAAGCCGGGCGCGCACTGAATCGGGCAGTCGACTACGGGGGCAGTTAAGTAGACATGACTTGGCAGTCTCGCCACCTCAGAAAGACACTTTCTGAACTTGGGGATGGCTTAGACCCAATTGACTACATAGTCCGCATGTAATCCTTTTATTTACCCTGTCTACTGCGTGTTTTCCGTGACAAAGATGTCCAGAGTCGAAGTCCCCGCGCCGGCGAGCGGCTATAGCGTTGAAAGCTTCGATGCGAGCTCTACCACGCAGTCGGAGGTTGTGGAATCTTTGATCAGGAATGGAGGTTGTTTTCTCCGAGGAATGATAGACCAGCAGAGTATTGATGCAATGCTCAATGACGTTCAACCTTACATCGACGCAGATGTACCATGGGAAGGCGACTTCTTCCCAAAAGAGACTCGCCGTATGTAAATGACAGGACAGTGTTGGCCGGTACGCTAAGAATTAAACAGGAGTAAACGGGCTACCAGCAAAGTCACCCCTATATACAGAAATGGTCCTTGGTCATCCTCTGTTCACCGCAGTCAGTAATGACCTTCTCACCACAAGAACGAGCACATGGATTGGTGATAAGCAAGAACACTATGTCTCACCGCCTTACTTGAACTCAACGTCTGTACTGGCGATCGGACCGGGAGCTCGAGCGCAACAACTCCACCGTGACGATAGCCTACACCACACCAAACTCCCCAAGATCACCTCTGATCAGTACACCAAGGATCGCGATACGGCACTCGGAATATTCCTCGCTGCGTCCAAAGCAACAGTGGCTAACGGAGCGACGAGATTTATCCCGGGCTCGCATTTGGACGCCTCAGATTATGGACCTGGTGATGAAAGTAAGGTTGTCTACGCCGAGATGGAGCCCGGCGACGCGTTCCTGATGCTCGCGAGTTGTTTTCATGGAGGTAAAAAGATGCATGCGCTCAAGCAGCCGTTATTCATAGTGCATACTGATTGGTTCCCCTCAGGCTCTGCAAATACAACGACAGACCAACCACGAAAGCTATTCGGATCCTTTATGTGCCGTGGCTATCTCCGTCAGGTGTGTTTATAGTAGTCCTCGTGCTGTTTGTGAAACTAATCTCCCGTTAGGAGGAGAATCAATTCCTCGCCAATCCGATAGAGGAGGTCAAGAAAATGCCGGAGAGCATCCAGAGAATGATTGGATATTCTGTCTCGAGTCCGTACTGCGGGTGGGTGGACTTGAAAGATCCAATATGCTTTGTAAGGGATGTAAAAAGTGGATACAAGGATCTTTGATAGTGCATACCGCAAGGAAGTTATCATGGTGGGAATCGTACCATGGTGGGGTGACTACTGTTTTCTGTGGTTTCCACGTTTTCACATCATTCTCAATCATGTACAGTCTGGCAGATTCATGCGCAGCAAGCGCTCCCAAAAAACACGGCCTAAATTCCCGAGAAGGACCGAGTATGTCTAAAGCTGCCACTCCTCTCTTTTTGTAAGGAATAGGCATACTTTTCCCTCTCCACAGCGGCTCCAAATCTCCGTGGCTCAGGGACTACAATTCTGGCTTCTAAAGCAGTCAAATACTATAGTATGTAGCAGTCATCAACTCATGCTACTGTCAATGGTCCGCCACGATACTCAACTACTCACACGTGTGAGATGTCTTTTCATGGTCAAAGAAGCGCGTGTGCCTGCGTCCTCACAAGGTGGCGCGGTCTTTCAAGTACAAAATCAAGTCAGTGCCAGCTTTTGATATTCTCTACATATTGACATCCTGTTCTCAATGGCACTCACGGATCACGAAGCACAATCGTAAACGAGAGCTATTGAGCACAGTAACCGCCATCCACATTCACTACCGAGCCAGTTGTCCAGCTCGCCGCGTCACTGCAAAGGAAGAGTGCAGCTTTCCCTACATCCTCCGGGCTACCCAAATGCGGCCAAGGACTTTGAGCATGTAGCTGCTTGTTCAAATCCACATCTTCCAGAGCAGATCGTACCATAGCTGTCTTCAGAAAGCCCGGACAAATGGCGTTTACGTGAATTTTGTCGGCGGCATAATCGAGCGCAACTTGTCGGGTCAAAAGTACCACAGCCCCTTTGCTCGCGCAATATGAAGCTACGGGTGAGAGTGTAAGCTGCAATGCACGGAATTCACTAGGGGACCAGGTCAAATCAATGTATATACTCACGTTCCATTGATAGACCAACAAGACCTCCGATAGAAGCAATATTGACAACCCACCCACGAGACCCCGATGGGTGGGGACTTTGCTTCATCATCTGCCCGATGGCATACTTCATTCCAAGGAATGGACCGCGCGCATTGACTGCCTGCTCAGTATCAGCGACAGGAGTTCTCTCCCCCGCCAGGAGTCCAATGCCCACCATTGTTTTCTCAAAGGCTTCTACAGGCTCTTCAGCGATCCTGTTTTGGCCACAAAAAATGCCAGCATTATTGACCATACTGCAGCTTGCGCAAATGAAAAAAGTCAGCAAACATTTAACCGCGGCTGATCCACGCTCGGCCTTGCCATGAGGAAGTGCACTGACATATCGAGCCTTCCGAACTCCTTCACGGCTGCGTCCACCAGTGCCTCAACGTCTTCCGGTCGACTCGCATCAGTTTTCTTGAAGATGGCTTTGCCCGTTCTTGCAACCAGTTCATGGGTCGGGAGCGTCTCAGTCTCGTAACCTCCTTGCCGCAGAGATGGGCTCAAGTCGCTGCACACAACGGTGGCTCCTGCTGATCCAAGAGCTGTGGCGATGGCTCTCCCAACCCCTGATGAGGAGCCTGTAACAATGGCAACGCGCCCGGAGAGACTACGTCGGATGTTAGTCCCGCATCTCTGTTCGCATTCTTTGCGCAATCCGTGGTCAGACTACTTACTTCATGACATCTGTCATTATTAACGGGTAGGAAGTTGTTATGCAAGTTTGCATTCACCGGCTCGCTATCCGCCGGGTACTGAGTTCGCAGTGACTCAAAAAGCGGGAGATGATGGAAACGAAGTGAAAAGAGGCGTTAGCAGAATTCACTCGAATATGAGCACTCCAAAGCTTTGAACCCCGGCGGTCTGTGGAGCACAAATTTGCTGATTTCAAGATCGCCTCGCTGGTGCAAAGAGGACGCTGGGGCGTTCAGAATTACAAGATAGAAAAGATGCGGAGACATGAGGTCGGAAATTCCACGCAATACTCCGATCTCTTTCCCTCGTAATCTAGCCGCACTCTCGCGGTTGCCTACCCGATCTTGGTCAACCCAAATCAGGTCCAAAACTATCCCACTTCAGCGGGGATAACTTCCTCTTCGGCCTCGAGCCAAAGATATCGCCTTTAATTGCTGCCGGGACCTTGTCACGTCATCATATTGCAGAACGCCTTTCTTCCCACGCTTTGCAGTGCGCCAACAAGGCGCTTTACTTGTAGGCCTTTATGGGCCAACAATGTATACGGTGAAGATGACAACTGCAGGCGTTGGGACGATTATGGACATCTACAACCGAAATGGTCACCCATTGACCTGTCCACATTACACAATTGCCTCTTACTACTAAATTTCCGAAGAAGCAAATTGAGGGTGCCGCGGTCTGCAAAGAACATAAGTTTTGTATTTTCTCAGTCCATTAAGTGTTTTCTCAGAAATCTCAGTTGTGCTTCGATGTTGGTCTCAAAACAGTCGCCAGAATAGGGCTCAAAGTGACCAGTCCCCTTGAGAAACAATAGCTCCTTCGGCTCCTTTGCTCTTTCAAATGTCTCCATCTGTGTTGGTACAGAGACCGCAGTGTCCTCTTCGGCAATGACCATGAAAAGCGGCGTGGGCGAGATTCTTTCGATGTACGCACGAGGTTCATTCTTCATCAAATTGAACAGGCTCTGCAGAGTGATTTTGTTCTCCCACTGCGCATCGGGACCGGTCTCGCTCTGCACAAAAAACCTATACGCATCTTCGGCCGGTAGGACACACTCCGCAGTTCCTGCCTGGGCGTCTGCGCGCGTATCTGCTACGACAGTCATCAATGCGCCCTGTGCGCCGTCGCTGATACGAGAACGGTCGACGATAATAAGAGGCATGAGGTCGACCCAGCCTGACACAGAGCTTCCGGCTACGAATGGGACCTGTGCAATCACAACTTTGATGCGGCGGTCGACGGCAGCAGCTTGTAGCACGTTCCCGCCGGAGTAGCTGGAACCCAGATCGCGATTCTGGCTGCATCGACTTCTGAGAGCGTTGAGGCGCAGGGTTTCATACTCTAGAGTATACTCGATAACATAGCCGTTGCCTGACCTCGTCGTCGCTCCTTTCGTTGTCGCCCTCGTCATCATCCTTTCTTAGCTGATCAGCAGTTCAATCAAGTTGTCTTTCAGCCATGAACAGAGACACTGCCTCATCTCGATCGTCTCGTCTGTCATCCTGCTCATCGTCGCGTCTATAAGACGACCAGTACTGCTAAAGGTTCGCTCGAGATCGCAGGAGGTAGCCGGTATTGAAAGCACGTCGAACGCCATTTGTTTTAGTTGCGGATGTCCGTGCTTGTCCCACCACGCTAGCATATGCTGTGTTGTCGCTTGTTGAAGTGTAACAGGGGCAGAAAAGGCGTACTCGTTCAGTGGATCTTTGGTGTCGTTGTGTGGCTCATGGCCTAGTTGAATATCGAAAATGGAGGGACGGTTCAGAGTCTTTGACACTACGGTTATAGTGGTCTCTAGTTTATAGCTCTTTTCCCACTCCTTTCGAACACGCGCCAGCATTACCTTCTTGTGCTTATCGAGTGTTGCCGTCCAGTTACTGTTAAAGTATGACATTCGTTGCTCTGGGTTAAATAGCGTCGCTGCGGCGTAGAGGTGGTATGCCTTATCCGTTTCGAGATAATATAAGTGCAGCTTTTCCCATGCGGCCTGTGTACAGACTGCTAGCGGGTTCTGAAGATCATCGTCCCGTTGATAGCGATTCATCTCTTTCTCGAGGTGAGCGTACAGCGCTTCGATCCCCGGCAACCATTGCCAGAGTGCTCCTTGCTGTCCTTGGATTCTATTGGTAACATCGAGAAATGGAAATAGTGCATCTTTAAGCTTAGATAGTCGCGACCAGTCATCGTCTGATAGTACGTCACTACCGAGATCTTTCGTAAAGCGTGACTGGAATATCACGACGCGTTCTTTGAGCTTTAACGCCTGCGATATAGAGAGGAATTGTCTATTCCATCGCGTCTGGTTATCGAGTAATACCTTTAGGTCATCAACGTTAGCATCGCCAATTCTGATGCCCTTGAATTCCTCTTGCCTTGCTGCCGATGATTTAATAAAGACGACGAGATTGTGGAGCTTTCCGAGGGGTCTCTGTTTCCGCCAGAGTCATTGCGCGGCCTCGATGTTTACAGGGTCAAAGTCATTGTCCTCTAGACGGCGAGCCTCTGTCTCGAATGCCTCTACCTCGGTCTTGTATAGGAAGGCCTTAGCTGCGAGGTTCACGATATGCGCAAGACAGCGAACTCGTTTCCCAGTTAAATCCTGAACCTCTGGTGTTAGATTGTCGAATAGACTTCTCACGGCGGTATTGTTGTCGCCAGCGTTGTCGGCAACGCAGACACCTAGCTCATCGACAAAGTCATATTCTCGGACTACCTCGGCCAAAATCGAGGCTTCATACGCGCCAGTATGTCTCTCTCGTAGTCTGCGTAGGGCTAGTAGCACCGATTTAGCCTGCAGCTGAGAGTCATCGTCGTCACCGACTCGAATAATGAAATGCGCGTTAACACCGAGCAGTGCGTAGGTGCTATAGTCTGAGGTCCATATGTCCATACTGATATTGATCTTCGAGAGAGACTGCTTTAAAAGCAGTTTGATCTTATTCTTTGCCGCCACGAACTCGTCCTCGGTCCACGATCGCGCAGCATTCCTTCCGTATATATACTTGTTCATCTTGGGTGTGATGCCTGTAATCATTCGTCTGAAGGCAGTGTGGTCAACGGTGCTGAACGGCTGGTGCGTCTCTATTAACCACCGTAGCGAATTCGTTCTCCACAGACTTCCACTAGGCTCAATGCCTTGAAACATGTTGATAAGAGTTGGCTGCGATGAAGAGGAGGGCGCTATTGACGCGCGTGCGGACGAACTGTCACGGATGCTATCCGACTCGGCCAACGACGCAATATCCTCCCTCCAGCCGTGCTTCTTTTCCATATGCTTTTGTGCATTGGGCGGCGACTCGTTCCACAGCTGAACCAGCGTTTTACACTCAAAACAGAACCACGCCTTGACGTACTGCGGTTCCTCTTGCTTGGAATATCGTGCCCCTAGCGACCAGAATACGCTAGGCTTCATCCTTTTGCGACGGTACCTGGGGTCACTATGCTTCCAAGGTATGAATGTACCGAGTTCGTTGATAATTCTCTCGTGATTGGGGGCCCCACCGAGGCTGGTAAGATCATCTGAAGACATTCTGGGCTAATGGTCGTAGTACTACAGACACATAGAATCAAAGTATGTCGAGAAAGCTGTGTCCTCACCGCCACTCAGCGACTAATTATTCCCACCCCGTCCACCGAGGAATAAACGTACTCTAGAGTACACTAGCGTACTCGATAACACGACGACGACGATACTCTAAAGTATACTTATTGAGTATACTCGGTATGGTACTCTAGAGTATGAAACACTGTTGAGGCCTAGGTGATGGCGTCGTGGTAGTCTTCAACCTGCTTGAAACCATCGACTTTGAATCGGGGATGACCGTCGCTCGCACCGAAATTGCGATTGTCATAGACAAGAGATGCGAAGCCGGTGGCCTGGAACCTGGCGGCGAAGTTGTCTAGGTATTGCTCTTTCAGACCTGTTAACTATAGCGGGCAGGTGTCATTAGAAAATTTGAATTTGCAAAGTTGGAGGCCAGTAGAAGGGAAGACCCAACACCATGGGAGAGAATAACAACGGGTGACTTGTCACCAGCAGGATAAAACCAGCCTCTCAAGGTCAACTGGTCCTTCGTCTTGAAAGAAACGTTGCGACGAGAAGCCGAAGCCATGGCAAAACTGGGATGGAGTCCAATGGCTCACAGATCCTAGGTGCGAGGAGTTACTCTGATCTCGTTAAGATGTCGTCAATTGGGTCGCTTGAAAGTTGTAATGGTGAATGAGGAGCAGCTCAATAACTAGATCGACATGGAGTTGTGTGTTTCAGTATGCTGCAAATGCGATGCTCTAGTGTTATATTTAAACCACAGCAACTGGCCGGGAAATACACACAACGAAGCGGCAACATACAAGTTAGCAGCCAGTGTCGAATTTCTTGTCTCAATACGTACCTGTTCAGGATTTCCCCCGAATTAGGAAGCCGATAGAGTTGGAAGGTGATGAATGTGGTAGTTGACTACCAAGCGCCTAACTTAATGCACTAACATTAGCACGACGATAAAGAATTGCATCTTTCGTTGTTGATAACCTTTTAGAGTACTTGCCCGTTTGACAATATTTATCCTCCCCACAACAGCCCGGCCTTGACACCGGGTCGGAATAATGCTACAGTCCATGCTGAGCACAACTTTTGCATCAACGTCTGGTTCCAGTGGTAGCCTAGTGTTAAAGCGGCAACCTCAGGAGGTTTTTCGTCTCTCACATATATCGGACAGAGGAACTAACCTTCCAACCACAATAGCACAGCCATCTCATTCACTGCTACTGACTACCGTCGCTTTCCAAAACTCATTGCCATTCGACCTGTTTGGGAACCATGGCAATGCCTTCTGCTTCTATGGTCGAGGTCATGCACGCGACCAATGGCCTCAGCACAGACATCTACAGTGCCAAGTCATCACCAGCTCGGTCGCAACAAAAAGAAATTCTGCTATCACAACAGGCCCAGCGACTGCTAGATCTCGAGGCTCGATACACTGTCGGAGGATTCACACCTCTGCCCGGATTCTTCGAACGAGGTTTGGGGTCCGTGCTTTGGGCAAGTAGATACTCAAATGGTCTGGCTGTGTAGGCAGCGGGCTGACAAGGTGTGAAACAGGACGTGGATGGCAAGGAGTATCTTGACTTCATCTGCATGTTCAGTTCCATCAACCAGGGGCACTGTCATCCCAGGATTGTCGCAGCTGTGATCGAACAGGTCCAGAAGGGTGAATAGCCACTTCCAATCAAAGGCCAGTTCTCTTGTCTGATTTGATCGTTAGCGTACAACATCAACACTTCCACACACAACGCAAAGTGGCCGGTGTTTGCAGAGATGATGTGTAAGAGGTTTGGTTACGATCAAATCTCGGCCATGGTGACCGGCGCTGAGGCAGTAGATCTGGCCTGTAAGATCGCACGACGGTACGCACATGAGGTCAAAGGCGTACCATCGGA